CCTGTAAGTGATTTTGTTTTTAAATTAAGCAAAAATGAACACAAGCAAAGTAGAAAACATGTTTCCCTGTTAAATAATGTGAAAAAAGGGCAGCCCTGTAACAGCAGAGATACCAGGGTAGAAATTTTGTGGGGAAAAAGAGCCCTCCTTGAGGAGGACATATGTTTGACTTTGCAGCTAAGGAAAACTGGTTTTGAGTTAACTAAATTATAAGCAATAGGAAAAGAAAAAAAACACACAAACAAAAAAAACTTAACAGCTAAATACAAAGCAACTTCAAAGCCTGTTAAGTGGATATCTAAATCTGACCGCAAATCTGCTTCCCAAATTTGTTGTACCAGCACTTGTTTTGTTTAAAAGCCATAAAGAACTGAGTTTGAAAGAGGGGCTCCTGCAGACTTCATAAGAAAGGCACCTCCCAGCATTCAATATGTACTTCTACTTTTTAAAAAAGAGCTGCCTTACAATTACAGAGTAGCATATGCTATCCCAATGAGAGACTATGCATGCATACAAGGATAAAGAAAGCATAACCAGTTTGAATGAGACCACTTCAAAAACCTGCGTTCTAGCTGTGCAAACTGAACAATATTGTGTGTGGAATTTTAAAGGTTAGACTTGCTGGCAATTTTGCAGAGGAGACTAGTTTTAAAACTCATTTTGAACTTCTTGAGAGCTTGAACAGCCTTTGATCTCATCCTACCTGCTCCCATTTGCTAGTAACATTATCTGTTCTGCTGAGTGCAATCTGATTAAAAGTATGAACGCAAGGCTACCGAATACTGACAGCATACGAGTTATTTCCAAAACAACTTACTTTCATTTTAGCTTCAATCCACTTCATGTTAGTAGCAGCTAAAACAAGGGGAAGAGGGGGGAGGGGAAAGAGGGAGGAAAGAACACTATTGAAAACGAAACTTTAATTCTCACAGATACATTTTTTTAACTATACAATCTGCATACAACACTTAATTCTGATGTGTAAAATGAACTTTTCTCATTGTACTTTTCCTCCACCACTGCATTCAATTTCGTTTTGACTAAAATATTTACATAGGGAAGTTCACCAAACTAGTCTTTCTTAGCTAGAAGAGAGACTAGATTAAATGTTTGTATTTTTGGAAAAGATTATTCTAGACTGTTCAAGCTAAATTAACCCTCCTGTGACACAACTAGGGCTACTGCACACCCCAGCTCAGCTAAAGATCTTTCTCCAACTGCTAGACATGAAATGAATGAATTTGTTGAAGCAGATTAGCTACCATTTTTTTTATATAAATGGGATAGTGTTGTTTGTTTCCAGCTTACCTCTGCTAGAGGTGCTCATTGCTTATTGCCTGGACTGGGATATTTCCACAACAAAGTTATGTATCATCAAGCAGTGCATGGGGGTCGCTTATACAGCTTCATTCCTTCAAGTACTTGTTCATCTGCACAAACTAACAATCGTCATACGGAAACTGCTTTATTCACTTACTTAAAAGAACAGTGTGCGATGCTTGTCCACATGAGATTTACCATCTTAGTAAAGTTATAGATCTAACTGCTCCTCTGTACAGACCCAACTCAGTGAATACAGTACAAGTACCATTAAAGCATTGCCTGATACTCTGTGATGCATAGCAAGGGCTATAGATAGGTTTAACCCAGAATCTCCACTGCAACATCCAGCATTATGTATACTGAACGATTTACAAGAGACTTTTAACTTGCTAACAAAAATAACTTACACCAAATTACAATATCATAATCCTCATATGCAGATGTTAGGAATTCATGAAGATATGGCCTCATTAACTCTACCCCAGTTTCAGCACACGATCTGTGGTCTGAAAAGAAAACAAGCATTCATCACTAGTTTACAATGTTTTAGTCTTACATTTCTTCTAGCCAGATATTTGTAGAAGCCCCATCAATTAAGCTTCTGAGCACTTTGAAAACATTAGTGAATTTACTCTCCTAAAACACCACTATGCGGGGACTAACACCCATGTTCCCCCAAATCCAGTTCAGTTAACCATAAGACAGTCTTTCTTTCCTCATCTCAAAAAAGGACAATATTGGTGACTGTGCACACCGCTACATATATAGCAGTCTGCCTTAATCAGAAAACTACTGTTTATGAAACTATTAAATACAGATTTATTAATGGCATCCTCACCTCAAGCTGTAATTAAAAGCTTGAGTCAGTCTCTCCTGATGCCCCCAAATTCCAGTCCAATGTGAAGTTATCAAGAGAAAAACATTGGTTTTTCAAGGGCATTGATCTGATGGCTTCAAGGCAAAATGTGTCTGGGTGGACCTTTCATAATCAAGGAGTCACCTCTCCTTTCCCCCTCAACTCCCCTCCCAAGAGCTGGACTCACTTGCAGATTGAGTTGCTCTTTTGCACTAAGTCAGTTCCTCACACATTTACCACCTAAATGCTCAGGACAGAAGATAACTGGAAGCTGACTTGCATACAATTTTACACTATTTTTGTAAGTCTTTTTTTTACATCCCCATGTAGCAACTATACATAGTATCACATGAAATAATCAGTACAAAATGCTGGAAGGGCACAAGATTATTTAAAATAATAGCAAGAGAGCAATACAAGCCAACGTAACCGAATGACTTACAGAGCAAAAGCAAATCAAGAGGTTCTTCAACTTACCAAACAGTGTGTAATCAACATCTAGTACCAACAGCTTTTTTCCTTCCCTAGGTGGATTCAGAACTTCCACTTTGTATTCTTTAACTCTGCGGGAAATTTTTAGTAGGTTTTCTTCCCTGATACAACAACATAAACAATTATGGTTAATGAGTGCAGACTGAACATTAAGTAACAGTGCAATCTTTTCTTAAAATGGCTAGAACAACACACCTATTTTCTACTTCAACAACTTCTTCCTCAATATCAAAATCATTAATGACATCATCATTATCAGGGGGTGGTCCAAGGACATCTTCCTAGACAATAATAAAAAAAAACCACAGCAGCAATAAATGAAACTCATGTCAGACCTCTGGATTTTGTTAAAACACATCACAGGAAAAGTAATACTCTTTAATCCAAATGCTTTTCACTTCAGTAGTAGCATAATTATTTGTAAATACTGATAAATATTAGTGACAGGCTTGAGAAATATTATTGCCAGGATATCACAGCAACAGGACTTGCACATAAATTTGGTCACTGCACAGCAATTTTGCAAAGGAGTACATTTTCTAGCGTGTGGAAATCAATTAAAAGTTCTGTAAGAAAACTCATCTTCCATACAAATGACAGCAGCACAGAGTTATAAATGTGCCTCTATTTGTATATTACTTTCTGGAATGTTAGCATTTCTCAAAGGCAGAAAACAGCTGCCAAAAATACAGTTCATTTTAACAGGAATAAGGGAACAAAACAATTTACCAGACTCTCTTCACGAGTTCCCATCATCATAATTTTAGTATTTGGTTTCAGCTTGAGAGCTCCGAGCTTAACGTCGTCATCTGCAGGTCTGCCTGCAATAAAGCAGATTTTTGTATTTTTCTTCCCCTCTTGGAGGTTGCATGATCACATTTGATCCAAGATGACACACACAATACTATGCCATTGGAGCCTCAGTTTTCCCTTGTGTCTGTTATTGTTATAGTCAAGGCAGAAGTGTTATAAATGCATTGACAAATTAATGCTAGTCCAAATTACTTGCCACATAAAGGTACTTAGAAATCCAACCAAGAGTGGGGCTCCACAATGCCACATTCTGCACATATGCAGCTCCTGTTGCTTTTACAGTTTAATTTGCAGCAGTTTAAACTGCTGATGTACACCATGATGTGCTACACGATGTAGCATGTTGACATACTAATGCTAAGCAACACCTAATGATGTGTTAACCATCCAAAGCATTCAGGCGTTAGGTGGGGAAGTAAAAGCTCTGTTAGTCTGCACCCCTTGGACAAGCTAAGAAGCTCTCCATGTCATGACTGAGGTAAATATCATGAATTTGTGGATGGCATACCTTTCATTTTGAGGCCAAGCAGTTTTTGGCGCTCTGGTAGCACTCCAGTAAGACCTTTGAGAGACTGCTTGAGATCTAATACTGTATCTTCTTCTGATAGTGAGGTGATGGTATATTCCTGTCCACCCCATTTTATTGTGAGAGACAGAGACATCCTTGAAGCATATGTTCGGTACTGCTGTCAGAAACACCTGCTGGGGTGAAGGTGGGGGGGGAAAGACGTTCATATAAAATACAGAACTAGGAAGAGCAGTTAGCTGGAAGGGGAGACTACATTACAAGTAACAATATTTTTGAGCGTATTGTATTGTTACATTATTGTGAGCCCTACACACTTTTTTTATGCAGTTGTGCTTCCAGAATTATGTTTCTAAGCCAGGGCCAAGCAATCATTTTGGGCGGAGAGCCGCTTACTGAATTTTGGCAAGCCAGAGGGCTGCATGACAGGCAGCCTGTGGCAGATAAATATTAATTTTCTAAATTTTTTAGGGGACCTGTGGGCTGGATAGAATGGCTTGGCAGGCCACATCTTGCCCACCCCTGTTTTAAGCATACAGTTAGAATTGAGCACTGGCCTTCCTTACTCATTTACACAGATCTGTGCTCTACCTGCAATAATACACACTCCAGGCCATATTTTATTATGCCAATATCAAGGTAGGTGTTTTTGAAAACAAAGCCAAAACACACACCCACACAATGCAATTAGACTGCAACCAGTTCACTTTGATTATAGTGCAGACATAACAGCCATAATTACCAAATCTCTAATTTAAGTAGCATCATTCATAAACTGTATTCAAAACAATTGGGTTAGTTTACAAGCACAAGAGCAGATAGGGAAAGATTCTGAGTGAGGCATTCAACCAATATTATCCTTGGGGTCTGTCAGAAAATAATCTTACCACCTGCATAACAGGAACATGATAGAGCCAAAAAAGATCAAGGCCTTGGGTAGACACAAGACAGCCTGTACCCCAAAAGCCAATCCAAAAATCACTAGGGGAGAAGAATGCTATTATCCTAACATCACCAATGAGAAATCAAGCCCCAACCAGATTAAATAATTTGCCCAAGATCACACTGTACATCAGTGATTAAGCCAGAAACTAAAATCTCAAGTGCCAGCACCATCTACTCTATGAAGAGTATCTTCCTTCCCTAGCATGGCCATTCAAGCAATGATTTATTCTTGCTGGGATGCAGTGCTGAGAGTATGAGCTGTATTAAAAGCAACTAACAGATCCAGTTGTTAGTGGATTTAGATTTAGTCACCGGAGCCAACTCTGTTTCTCTAGCATGTCAGGCCTACAGATAAATCCCCCTGAAGCAGAGAGATGTAAGTACTTCGCGCAGGACTACATCTACATCCTAATCTCCTCAATAATCTTCCGCTGCAAGAAGCGGAGCTGAAACCAGCTTTGAAGGATCTTAACAGACACATCTAACAGCTCGCTTCCTACAAAAATGCCCCTCCAGAAGTGGCTGCAGCCGCTTGCAATTAATTGGTCCTCGCCAGCTGCGAGACAAATAGGGACATTGCTCAGGGGCTGCCATCACAACACCAGCAAGTATCGTCTAGAAATCTGTTATCTAATAGCAGCAGAAACTTATCCAGATGCAAAAGCTCTTCTCCATAAGGGAAAGAGAACTCCTCGCGCGCCGAAATGCCCAGATCCGCTGGAGAGCACCAGTAGCTTGGATCAATCGCGCAGCTTGCTGCCCGAGAGAGGCCCTCTGGCCATTCATGGATGCTAGGCTGGAAGCAAACACTCTTTCCGTTTGTCACGGGGCAACATGACTTCGGTCGGTCCAACTCGACCTGGTGCTTCCATGGTCTCCGAGAAGGTCTCCGAGCAAAGGGCCACTTTGAATGAGATGGACGGTGCGTTTCATATGGCACCGACTGGGTGCAGGACGCGCCTCACAGCAAGGCGCGTGCCAGGCGTCGATGGCCACAAAACCGAATCAGCCATTGTTTTTCCCCACACAGAGGTAAAGCGTTGCTGTGGGTAATCCACGGGTATTTGATGAGGTGATGGGTTTGCTGCGGAGTCTCACCAGCTCCCGCGACTCCTTCAGGCGCCCCCTGCATGTCCCTCGTTTGTAACCTCCGACCTCGCCCCATCCCCGTGTTGTTTGTTGTGCCGAGAAGTTAACGGACGTGTGCCCCACCCCCCCCCACGGGTGCCGCCACCCCTACAGCGTTGAGGGCACCCCACTCGTGGGGGGAGCTGAGGGCCCCTTCCCCTAAAAGTGACGTCACCCCTAGGAACGAGCGACCCCCGCTCACCCAGGGCTGCGGAACCGGCACCTTCCCAGCAGCAGCCGCACCGGAAGCGGAAGTGATCCCTGCTCGTTTCCCCGCGAGCCGGAAGTGCGTGGGGGGGTGAAAGACCCGGATGCGGCAAAGCCGAACGGCTTCTCTCCCCACAGAACGTGGCCCACTCTGCCGCCTTCCGGTGTAGCCCGGAAGTGCACGCCGCCACCCGGAAGTGCTCCTGGCGCGGACGCCGTTGCCGGGGCAACAGTGGGGTGTGACTGAGGGGGCCTGGGCCTTGGGGCGCTCCGGCCGGGGGTGAGGAGCGCGCTTGCGGGGAGGGGCGGAGGGCCACCGCACGCACGCGCACAGGTGTCTACCCACACATACATGCGTGTATGTATGCATATGCACCTGTGTGTTTGTGTATACAGAGTCACGCAGAGTCACCAAATAACCCCACACACGTGTGTGTCCATGAGTGTACAGGGATGTATTTGGCAGCCGTGTTGGTCGGAGACTAAAAGAAATGCAAAACTCTGCGCCTCTAGGTTCAAAGATGATCCCTTTTCTTAAACCAACCAAATTGCAAACAAAAACAACAATAAAAAAGGTATTTTTCAGGCTCGGGGGAAAAAGTCCCCATGGGTAGGAAATAAACTTACTTTTTGTGTGTATATGCACCTGTGTGTGTATACGCACACCTGTGGTGTGTTTACGCACATTTACATGCATGTGCATACATGCATACCTGTGTGTATATGCCCACTTACGTGTATATGCACATTTATGTGCATGTGTATATGCATACCTGTGTGTATATATGCACCCTTCCCCAAAAATGTGTGTGTATGCACATGCCCACCTGTGTGTGTGGACACATGTATACCTATGTATGTCTATATACACGTCTATGCAGACATGCATACACACACGGTTTAACTAGTCTACACAGGTGCAGGTGTATCCCAACTTCAGGGCACAAGCCAGCCAATGAGGCTTCGGGACCAGATCAGCTGTTGGCCTGATGGAGTGTGCTCATGGCTCAGGCCACAGATGAGAGCGTATGAGAGTGTATGACGGTTAAACAGCTGGGGAATAGGGAGGAATAAGGGTTTTCCCCTCAAACCCTGCCTGCGTCTATGCACCTTTTCAAGTTGATCTCGGAAATTGTCATTTCATCAGCTTGTGTTTCTGAGAAGAGAGGTATGAGCCAGAGAGCAAGCATTCCTACTTCACTCGGAGGCAGTCCAGAACAGGTACCCAAACTTGGCTAAAATAATGTGTACGTTCATGTACTGAAATGGTTCACTTCTTAGGCGTACATAATTCTGCCCGTGCCTTTCTATTTCCAATACTGATCCTTTAATTTCATGTGCACTGTGATTCCCTCCATGCATTTCCCCAAGGCCTATCTATCCTGGAGAATAAAAAAAAAAATCCTATCATTGCTAACATGAGTTTAGGACATGGGGCTTGAGCATGGTGGAGTGGAGTTGTCAGCATGGTGTAATTTACCCTTGCTGGGAGCACGTCTAAGGCCTTATCTGCAGCAAACAGAATGATTTAACTTGGTGACTCTCTCAACCAGGGTGCTGCGGCTTACAGGCAGCTGTGAGATGCCATACAATGTTAGCGCTGTTAGGTGTGATTTAACAAGATAAACCCAGAGATTTCAAACAGGAATCCATAGTGTTAAAACCCTCCTGCTCTGCTGTGATATTTCCGAGTTCTTTGTAACAGAAGAATCACTTTATTATTTTTCTGTTGTTAAAAAAATGACTGAAAACATCTGGCATTTTCCAAGGGCCTTTCCCTGAGCCTATTGAGGGGTGCCTCAGGTCTAAAAAGGCTGAGAACTACTGATTTAATTAAAATGATGTCTAAGTCATTTTAGTTTAATCAGTGCTGCCCCATTGTTTGAACACTTAAAATCAGTTTTGCGAGGGTTTAATATCATTTCAGCCTGTTCCTAGATTATGCTTAAACTGTAAGTAACACTAACACTGCAGCACCCTCAGAAAGAGGTGCGTTTTCGAAGGCATTGTGACTCAGAAATTAATATTATTAATATTAATATTTTTAACTTTTGAGCTGATTCCATCCAGAATAAGGGGTCTTCTGTTTTTCAAGATTTCCTGGGTGATTCATGAGCATTGGCTTCAGTAGGGATTCAGGGTTTTTTTGGTTTGCTGCTAACTGAAGTACTGCAGAAAAATAATTTTCTCGGCACAGAAAGGATGTTTTGTACCAGAGGGCATTCTGTTTGATGAAAACTGTTTAAGGATAATTGTTTAGCTGCAAACTGCTTTCTTAGATAGAAATTAAGCCGAAGTCGTACAGACACTTGATTTGATTTTTAACATCATTAAAGAGACAGGACCAGATGGGGAAAAAAAGAAATTTGCAAAGTATGTGCAGAAAGGCAGTAACTATAAGCTTCCTTCTCAGCAAAGTAACTTTACTTTTCAAATGCATGCCTAGTATATCAAATCCTAATGTTTAGAAAATAAGATCTAAACAGAACCTGCTTGGGACCTAATCCCCTCCCCCCCCCCACAGTTTGTTTCCTCTTTGCAGATTGGAAACACATTTAACATATTTGAAGTTCTAAAGTATACTCTGTCTCAGACACACAAATACTTTTGGCTTCCAAAAACAGCATAACAAAGGGATACTATTGTAATGAATATTCCTGTCAGGTTTAGCTCCTGTCTGCATGCAAATCCAGGTAAAACAAAGCAGTACTCCATCAGTCAAGAAAACACATTCCTTACAACGTGCTATTGTCCTTTATTGAGACAACCATTTCAAGTCATGCTGGAAACTTTCCAGAGCTGTAAATGATAATGAAAAGTCACACCCTAAAAGGATGCTGGACAGAAGCATTGTGTCCCCAAGGCCAGTTCCCATTTCCTCTTTAAAGATACCGAGTAGGAAATTGATGCCCCAGCTCTGAAATTTTTATGATAGTTCTTAAATGTTTGGTAGAAAGATTATTTTAAAAGAAAAACAAAACCCAGCATTTTCATTTGCTCTGGGGAATGAAGGTGAAGAAACTTCAGCAAGGCCTTTGACACCGTCTCCCACCCCATCCTCATTAAAAAACTAGGTGATTGTGGCATTGATGCCTACACAGTCAGATGGATTGCAGATTGGCTGAAGGGTCGCACTCAGAGGGTGGTGGT